GCTGGAAGCTTTACCATCAACGCCATAGTGTTGAAGCTTTCCAACGAGTATATCAGGATGAACACAGTCAAAAGCCTTTGACAGGTCACAAAAGACGCCGACTCCATCATATGATTCTACCCAGGCGTTAAATATGTCCGAAATCAACTTCACACCGGCATCGATTGTGGAGCGACCCTTAGTAAAACCATACTGTTTATTATGTAAGAGTTAATTTTTATTAAAATGTAAAGAAAGCTGGTCTATTTTCCAGGTAGCTTTTACTTTATCCATGCTATTTTTTATTTTTTGAACTTAAATATTGTGACTTTGCAACTTTGCAATCTTTTTTGAAATTATTTGAATACAACCTAACATATTCCCTAAATTCCACACTTGTGTTATATTGCTTTTCGTCATACATTTCATATAATTTTAACCTTTTTCTGTGTAACTCCTCATTTGCCCAGTCACAGAAACTTGTTTTCTCAGAGACTAATAAAGTCTTTTGAGTAAATACTTTCTTGAATTCATCAATAAATGATCCAAAAAAAGTATTGTATAAATTATTAGGGGATGAGTTGCCACACAGAAATGGCATCCTATAGACCAATGCTTCTCTAAATCTGTCCAAACGGTCATTTCAAATAGGAGTTATCACAATTTTCTTCTTTTTACATGTTTTTTGTTTCCTTAATTGGAATTCAAACCATTGACCAGTGTGATCAGATTTAAATCTATTGAAAATACATACATTCAAAGGGGCTATGTCACTATATATATTATCTATATGTCACCGTAAAATTGTAAACACCGTTAGATTGTAATCTATCTCGCGAGATTGTAAACTGTCGAAAGATTGTGAACTCAACGTACTGCATACAATTTAACGTATTATTATTCGGTAGATTGTAATCTGTCGAAGTGAAACCGTCAAATTGTGATACGGCCATTTTCTACTTTTCTATTGGTTATAAGTGATGTGACATTCTCGTTTTCTATTGGTTATAAGTGATGTGACATTCTCGGTAAATTAATCGGATCGATTATTTCCTCATTTGTTATTTTTAAATTTAAACCTAATTTAACCATTACATTAACTTCATGTTTCAATTAGTGTATGGTTCCGAAAATTTTTAAATTATTCAAAAAGTACCCAAAACCGAATCAGAGCACCCCACTATCCACGTGGTCTTGTCTGCCCTACCCCTAGAGTGTATATAAAAAATCGGAGGCGCAGTGGAAGAGCAGCCCCCACCCGCTGTAACAAAGCACAGGCATTATGCAAGCCGTAGCGGCTAAGGCTGGTCCAAAAAGCCAAAGCTGCGGAGGCTTGAATAAATTGCCTGTGCTTTGGTACGCAAGGGTGGAGGGGCTGCACTTCCCGTAGCGCCGGTGCTATCCAAAAAATGTATTATTATTCGGTTAGGTTAGGTTAGTATATTAATATTTTTTTTTAAATAACTGTTCAACTGAAACTCGAAATCGAATACAAAAACGAATACAAAAATCGATTTTCACTTTTAAAAAATAGATTATTTTTGAATAATTTCAAAATTTTCGGAACCCTACACTAATTGAAACATGAAGTTAATGTAATGTATGTACATTTGACAAGTAATGGTTAAATTAGGTTTAAATTTAAAATTAACAAATGAGGAAATAATCGATTCGATTAATTTACCGAGAATGTCACATCACTTATAACCAATAGAAAACGAGAATGTCACATCTCTTATAACCAATAGAAAAGTAGGAAATGGCCGTTTCACAATTTGACGGTTTCACTTCGATAGATTACAATCTACCGAATAATAATACGTTAAATTGTAAGCAGTACGCTGAGGTTCACAATCTTTCGACAGTTTATAATCTCGCGAGATAGATTACAATCTAACGGTTTTTACAATTTTACGTTAACATATACAAGTTGCGGTGCTAGCTGTTATTCTTGTGGGTGAATGAAATTGATTTATTAAATTGTATGAACGAAAAAGACTAAGTATGCGTACACTTGAATTAGAATGACAAAGTAAATTGACATTAAAATCCCCACACACAATTAGCCCTTTATTACACTTTACAAATTTTCACAATATCTCCTCTAGTACATTTTCAACATTATTATAGACAGCTGATGGAGGACAATATAGACATATAACAATGAATTGCTCCAGTTCCACACAGGCGATAATATCCTTTCTTTCTTTGCAATGAAGTGTTTTACTAGTTATGATTAATGAGCCACCATGAATTGCATTTTCTCTGAAAAACACACTACCAACCCTGTGGTTGCAAAAATTAAACAAAACTTCATATTTTTTTAGCCAGTGCTCTGTTATGCACAAAAAATCCACCTCAGGACCTTAGTAAAATGTTCCTACTTTTAAGCAGCGTTTTCATGATGCCCTCCAGGCTATCCGAAACCCTACTCCCGTACCCGCTTTCGCTCACGCTTCCCACTTCTCAAAGCGGGAAGTAACAGCGAGAGCGTGACGGGGAATACAAGACGCCTATCCTCAGCGATGTCTACCCAATCCGTTTGACAAAGTCGCCTCCGGCTCGGACGGGTTTCAAACCATAGGTCACAAGAAGAATCGGTCGACCAACGGCGGTCCTCCCAAAAGGCCTGTAAGGGATTGAAACTTCCTAATCACTGACCTCTGTGGATCGGTAATACTCCACCGTCTAAGTATGTGAGGTACAAGAGCGTAAGGCCCGTCAAACTTCTTAACAATAAGTAGATTTCTTACAAAGCTAGGACGCTGAGGGGCTTGTCGTCAAGGTAGGCCCAATCCGAAGCGTTCCAAAGGAGTTAGATGACGTGAATGAACAGACCGACCTGGCTGAGCAGGGATACCCGAACATTCATGCACGTGGCAATGCCACCGCTGCCAGCTTTTAATTAAAAAGCCTGGGCGCACAGTGGGACGTGATACGGCCCGAAGCCCGTCACAGTGGAGAGGCCTACAGATACAGTGAGCTCTCCAGCACAAGCCCTAGTAACCGCGAGTACCTGCAATCGAGATTCATGAGAACCGCTACCGATGTGTCTTTCTACGTTAAGAACGTACCACCACGACCTGGAGCTCTCTACCATAGCCTAATAGATGAAGTTGGTGTCCACACGCCACTTCGACAAGGTTAAACACCATCCCAACCCGTTGGTACGCAAAAGCATCAACTACTACAACGAATGAAATAAAATCGAGTAACAGACATACAATTCGAAAATATTTAGAGATATCATAAAGCACCAATACTAATTATGTTTTTTTTTTAATAATTTCCGTCTTTTGCATATTTTTTCCATTGAATTATGTAGATTTTTAGTATAAATATGTAGAATAAAATTAGAAATTTCAAAACAAGGAGAGGACTCACACGAAAATGTTTATTCATATTGGAATATTACTTCTACTCTCTCAAGCACTCCTTGGTAAGATAAATTCCATTTAATTAATACTTATTTATACCCAATACTGTGTAGTCTTTTGAAGGATACAAACATTTTTTGGCGAATAATAGTCAAATACCGGTAATAGGTTTAATTTTGATGTAAAATAATGCACTATTTGTAACTTTTTTTAAATGATGATGTTACTAATAATTTAAATCTTTATTTTCACATTATTTATTTCGCACCACCTAGACCGTCATTTGAATTGAATGAGTTCTTTCTTTCTTCTTTTATTTCTTTCTTTGGCTTCCGCAACAAAATAATTGATAGGTATGCCGTGCCCCATAGACAGTATATTAAACTAACGCCCACGAACCAAGCAAAACATGTAGCCGAATAAAATAAAGTCACTCACTATCCTTGGAAAAGATTCATCTCCTAGGGAAGATTATATCCATGTGTTGAGATCTTTATGCAGTGGTTCAGAAAATACATCAGTCGTAGTTTAAAAAAAAGAAATTACCCTTAGCACACCATATTACCATGCAAAAAAAGCAGCATTATGCAATTTTTAGTAACTAACTAGAAAAACGTACGATATTAATTATACTAAAAGTAATAGGCTGTATTCAAAATATACGTATTTGAAAAACTCGACACAATATAATTTCCTTTATTGAGATTTTCATCGGAGGTGAATTCTCCTTTTTCAGCGATTAATAAGGTTCTTACCAGTTCTTCTCGTTCTACGCCCTTGATTGAAAGCATTAAATGTAAATATAGAAACATTTTTTTTTATAAATATAAAGGATATTTGATTTTGATTTCGTGTATTGTTTCGACGATAAAATAGTAATATTTCAAAAATTGTCTTTATTTCGTTGTATGCTCATTTCAAATACATATTTGTATTTCATATTATTCTAATTTCAAAGCATATTTTTATAACTTAACATAACATATAAATAAGCTTATATTCGAACGTTTCCGATATAATTATAAATTTATAGGCAACAGAGAAAATTAATTGTGTTCGTTATCTCATTAAGATATATAAGATAATTAACACAAATTACAGGTTGATTATTGTATTTTAAACTAGAACAATGGAGATTAGACGCGGTATTTGATTAAATTAAACAGTAGATATATTTATGAATAAACTTAATTTTAATTTAATTTCATTTTTTTTTCCTTTTAAAGAAATAAAAATTTATACTTTGTAAATAGGGTATTTGATCATTTTAAATTATTTGTCATTTTAAGTCGCAGTATTTAAAATACATATAATAATACTAAAATTTATCTCGAGACATCATTGTTTAAAGCGTCTAGTCCAGTTTAGGTTTGATTCCCGCTAAAATGAATATACATTTGATCACATACCTTAGCAAATAACCAGTGAAAGATGCTAGGAATAGTAGACGATAACAATACGAGGGGTGGTTGGGTGAAAAAACAAATCACATAATTTACATTAATATACTGATGATGTGGTCATTTTCATTGCAAGTTTAGTGTGATAAAATAATAAAGACATGGGAAAATAACACAGTTGGCATTTTAACATGACTTGGTTATCATTCGTGCAGAATGAAAAAGTTTCTGTAAAAACACAATTTTAAGTAGGTATTGGAAGTTTTCCAATAGTCGTAGAAATCCAATCCAGGTACTTATAAACCCTGGTGAATACATCTGGCACCCCTTTACCACATGGAATGTTCCAGGATGTTACAGTACCATTATGGACAAGAGCGCCTCCAGAATCATCCTGCAATAAATTATTAAAAATCGTTTTTAATAAATCTGGGTGTTAACTAATCGATGAAGTTAGGTAATTTTGTAAATGTTTAAAAAAATTACTTTGTATTAAGAATCACTTTTATTTGTGTCGCTGATAAATTCGTCCAACTGATTTACTTATATGTTGTATGAATGCATATGTGTATTTATTACTCATAAATTATTGACTTACATGACAGATGCCTTGGCGAACATCTTTGTATGTGCAGAGAAGTTTATCAGTGATTGGGGTCCATGTTTCCTCCTTTTTAAGTTCGCTGTCTTGACATTCTTTTACTGTTAGTGATTTCACAGTCAACTTTTGCATTCTTTTGGGTCATGTGTGATAATAAATAATACGTGACAAACGAACAGCTCATTCTCTTTGGATAGCAAGAAGAAACCCACGAGACTATGATGAGTTTTCTTTACTTCGTGCAAGACAAAAGGCAATCCAGAAAAAATGTTTTAATTTATATATGCAAAAAATACAAACATTGTTAAAGAAAGATCCAAAGAAAATGGGTCGTATTTAAAATCCTTACGAATTTATAACACTGGCTATCCTAATAGATTACAATTAGGAAGCAATACATATAACAACGAATCGGAAGCATGCACGGGATTCAGTACATTCATTGAGAGCGTATTTTAACAAGCAGCACCTTCATACTATGAAATCCTGAAGACTAATACAGAAGTAACCGACAACATTATATGCAAACTAAATATAACCAAATTTGTTATATTGAATATACTAAATTCATTAAATGCGGATAAAGGAGCTGGGTGAGACGGTATACCACCTATTTTATTAAAAAATGTGCTCAAACTATTACAGAACTATTGTACATCATACTGAACTTACCCGTGAACACATTTGGCATTTATCCTGATGTATGGAAGGTCGCAATAATACCGGTTTATAAGATTGGCTCACGGTTGAGTATTGAAAATTATCGCCCAATATCGAGACTTAACACTTTCAGTAAAGACTTTGAAAAGATAATTTATAAGGCCATCTTTAATATGATAAGTAATTCACTTCCAGATGAATAGCATGGTTTTTAACAATAAACGATCTACGATAACCAATTTAACCGTGTTTACGAACTACGTACTACAAAGTATAGATGGTGGTGCACAGGTAGATGTTATTTACACAGACTTTGAGAAAGCCTTCGAAAGGGTGGATCACACCATTTTATCCTATTACATAAGCTCCAACTCCTAGGGATAGGTGGTGACCTTCATCGGTGGTTTTGTTCATATATAACAAATCGTAGACAGGCGGTTGCGCTTGCCAGTGCTAGAAGTGACTATGTTCATATAAGTTCTGGAGTTCCTCAGGGATCTATACTGGTTCCCCTGTTATATAATGCATATCTTTATGACATAAAAAGTAGCATTAAAGATTCTAATTACCTTATGTTCGCTGATGATAAAAAGATATACTTAAAAATAAAAAAAAAGGGGGTGACTGTCACAAAATCCAGGCTGACTTGAATAACCTTTGTAATTATTATAGACAAAATCGAATATCGCTTAGTGCTTCAAAACATGTCAAAACAACATTCACCAGAAAAAAAAACAAAATTAACTTTAGTTATAATATTAATAACAAATCCGTTAAAGAAGTTTTTTTTTAAATTAGTTATTAAGCTTACGACAACGCTCACAGTACTAAATCTACTAATTATTTTACAAAATCTTACATCTAAAATGTGTGACAATTAAAGTAAACATAAGTTTCACACAAAAAAAATAGAAATTAAAAATTAAAAAAAACAATGCTTTATCTAAAACCGATCAGCCCACTACCGAATATATCCAGCTCCGGATAAGCTGTATTCAATCCGTTAAAATCGCGAAGAATTCGAACGAGAGGTGCCTGAACTCCTAGATTGGTTTTGGCAAAAGAAATTTGGAAAATATTGTTGATTTTAAACCTAGGGAATGAGTAAGGGACGACAATTTTAATATCCTGTAAGAGGTCACTGCTCTGCATTCGATTATTGAGCAATTTATGCAGGAAGGTAACACCGGCTAAAGTTCGCCGATTGTACAGTGATAACATATTAAATTGTGATAACATATTAAAGTTGATTGAGTTCGTGACTTAGGTAGGTATAAGGCTAGACTATAAAATGACGTATAATAACCACGCAGTTGACACAATAGTTGACAAAGTCTATAAGCAGCTTGGTTTTGTAAGACGTTTCAGTGAACATTTTCATGATGTCGACTGTATGAAAGTGCTATACTAGATATACATACGTTAGAAGTATTCTCGAATATGGTTGCTCGGTTTGGTCACCTAGTTACACTGTATACAAAGACAAAATTGAAAAGATCCAAAAAGACATAACATTTATTTCCTATAAGACCTATTATAAGTTTAATACATATAAAGACGCATGTGAACATTTTAAAATTAATACTTTATATCCTCGGCGAAAACAATATGATTTATTGTTACTCCATGACATCTAAATAAATAAACAAAACAAAACATAAACAAATAAATAAATAAACACCCACGTGCATTCCAACGAATACTACTGACGGACTGTCTAGCTCCCAGTCTCAAATAATAGATATTAAGTGAGTCTTAAGCTAATCACCATTGTAACCGGTCAAATAAAATATTAATTAGAAATAAAATTTATTCATTTTTTAAAAACGCTTCAGCGCGACCTCGCGTTTTAACTACCTAGTACATAAGTAACATCTCTGAATACATGAATCAGTCAACACTAGTATCCGTTCACGAGTATGACGCATGGCCAGCCATCGGCCCCCTCACCATAACCCGACGCATGGACGCCACAAGCAATGAATAAGCGAGCATGACGATCCATAAAATGTGAACTTGGCTACATAAGAAAATAATAATAATACTAATTTCTGAAATATATTGATACCGCATGGATCACGGTTTGCTCCCACTTTACATTAAAACAGTCGTGAGATATTAAGATATTGAGAGAAGAGAGAGAGATTCAATCGCGTTATGGGCAACTATAAATAGAACTTATTTTGTAGGAACACAAATATTGTTTTGATTTCTAAACCCACATCTTTACGCAAAGCCAATCGATTAATTCCAACCAGTCACTCTCCTGACTTGGTCTTGGTATAAGAAGGTCTTGTATATCCATTTTTGTCTTTATGTTAGTCTTCTTTTCTTCAAAATGTCTTCTTCCCTAACTTAGACAATTAAACTAAGTACTTAGCGTATCTGCGTCCTCACGGTATATGTGAGGTGTGAGTTCTCACAGGTGAGATCTGCTAGTGGAAGGCTAGACACTGATCCAGTACCACCATATTCAAAAAAGATGACTGAACTAAAACAACAAAAAAGTTTCTTGCACTTCGGGAGTTTGTCTCTAGGGTAGAAATATTATATACATTTACTACCTTTTGCTGAAATTATGAGAGTGAAGTAGTACCAGGCGCCACTCCTTTCAATCGCTGTTTTTTTTTCAATGGTTGGCAGGAGTTTCAGTACGTTTTCCAATTACAGCACTAGAGCGCATTTTGCGGCATAATGCTCAACGTTGAGTGTTCCAACTACAGCAACGCTTCGCACAATTGAGCACTCTCAAAACGAATGCTCTCGCAAGCAATACCAACACAATGACAGAAAATTGACCAGTATTTTTCTTTAAGTTGGCATTTATCGAAATTTTCGTTAGTAAATATTATTTACTGTTGAAAAATTTGTAAGGCTTTCGTTTCATCGTAGATTTTGAAAATAATTAAAGTTATTTCAAACTGCTAAAAAAAATAAATATTAGTATGGATGAAGGTATAAATAGTTACTTTTTTATATTCCACATTTAAAATATGAATACAATTTTATTTTAAAAATCGGATCTGTAAACAAATTTACTTTACAGGATTATACTTTAGAAAAAATTGCAATGGTTTTGAAAAAGTATATATTTTTTTTAGAAATCATTAAAAAATATTACTCAAAACATAAATGATGTAAACTTCTTACATTAAACTAAATATTTTACTGTTAATTTAGCTTGTTAAAACCTTATATTCTTTAAAGGTTTTCTCTTATTTCAGTAAAAAAATGTTAATGAAATAATTTGATTATTAAATTAAGCGTAAAAAGTTTTCAACCAATTATTATTGTTTACCACATTATTTATACATTAATGACGTTGCTAACTCAATTCATACAAATTCAACATTTTTTTTACAACACTGACTTAGCGCACTCTGCTGATGCATTTGAAAACTAATTCACGTTCCAATTAAGCTTCAGCATTATGCGGCATTGTGCGGCACTGAGTCGCAAAATGCTCTGTAATTGGAAAACGCACTCAACAACTATAATATAAATAAGTCTGTGTCTGTGGATGGAACTCTGGTAGTAGGTTCATTGTAAGAAAACAACCTCTACATTTAATTTAAAAAATAATAATTTTAAGGGTTAAAATTAAGTTAAATTAGGGTAATATAGTTAAAAATAAGATTTGTGTATAATTTAAAGTGATTATACAGTGTTTTTTGTCGCGAGAACTTGGCAAAACAGGGATCTAAAACCGGCTGTCAACTCAACGCCTTAACGGTAACGAAGTTTAAAATATCGTCAAACCTGGGGAGTATTTTGTTCTATTTAAGTTATATTTACTAACTACATCACATCACAAAATACTGCTCAGTTTTTGGAGCTACGTCCATCACACATTGGCACGGTTTATGTCTCATTTTGCTTGACAACTAGTGGAAGCAAAATCGACGACGAAAACATTCGCCCAGACAATTAATACTACATAATTTACTTGACAAAATAAGCCCATTTTGTGTGTTTTTAGGTTTCATTAGATATTTATAGGTAATAAATAGTACAACCACCACCACTCACACATAACAGTTATCTATATATATACATACCTTTTTCGCTTGTTCATTGCATACAGTCCCTATTATACAATATGATGACTTGCAGAGGCTTGGCTTTGCAAGAAGAGTCTAAACTTAAATTAGCACTGACTGAATTGCAGTCTTGCAGGGATTTATGTACCCAGTTAACAAGTGAAAGAGAAGAAAATGAAAAAGAACTCTTAAGTGTGCTGGAAGGCAACAGGAAGCTCAAAAATGAAATGTCCTTTTCTATTCTCTATCTATCTATTCACTTAAAGATCAGTGTGATATGCTTCAGCAGGAATTAAATAAACTTGATAGTTATGGTAATGAGTATGAAGTTGCTTTGCTGCGCATAAGAAGTCTTGAAAAACAGCTATTGGAGGCTCAACAATATATTTATAATCTGGAGGCAGTCTCACAAAGTGTAAAAGATACACACACAAACATTTTATATAATACATTCATGATTCAGGTTCTACACCAACTAATAATGTACGGTAGAAAAATATTCTTCTGCGATGGAAGATATGCTTCAAATTTCAAATTACACCGCAGAATGTTATGAGCAATTGCAGAATAAAACTTATGGTTGCAATTATAAAAGCCAACCCAGTCTCCAATTACCACAGACATCACAACATACCCACAGCCTCACCTACACCACAACAAACACTCAGTTGAAAGAAAAAATAAGGCAAAAGAAAGGAATTTAATGTATTCCGATGGAATGGGTCAGGACATGGGTACTATTGTACAATTAAATGATGGCCAAACATTTATAAACAGCTGCTATCCCAATGCCACTTTTAAAAACATTGTGAAAAATCATATAATCAAAAACAATGATAATTGTAATCATTTAATAATTTTTATAGAGAACAGGGGAAATGTAAATAAACATGATCTTTTAGAATTATATGAAAAACTTTGTTGTTTAGACTCTAAGAGGATTGTTATGTTTACATTTCCCTATAGCCAAAGCTTTCCTAAGGAAGAAAATGACACAAGATATATTCTTAATCAAACATTGCATACATTGGCAATGTATAATGATAAATTTTGTGTCATAGATACCAATAGGTATAGTAAAAAGTTTTTTATCACAAAGAGTAGGTAGATATTATTACCTACCTGCTTTCTTAAAAAGACAGATAGCTGTTTTGCTATCATATTTTATAGAGATGACAGCCAAGAATTTGGCTAGACCCCTTGCTTCTATTGAGCAAGCATTAGATTATAAGACCTTGGAAGTAATTCCAAATAATATTTATTTAAATTAGATAATAGGACAACAGAGCACCACTCTTGCAACAATAAGGTAAGTATATTATGTGATAAAAGTCATTCCCAAAAAATTATTGTGGTAGGTACATCAAAATATACAGGGGATGAAAAATAAAGAATTAGAAATTGAACTATTCTTGAATAGTCAAAAAATAGACTTTTTGTGCATAACAGAGCACTGGCTAAAAAAATATGATGTTTTGTTTAATTTTTGTAACCACAGGGTTGGTAGTGTGTTTTTCAGAGAAAATGCAATTCATGGTGGCTCATTAATCCTAACTAGTAAAAAACTTAAATGCAAAGAAAGAAAGGATATTATCTCCTGTGTGGAACTGGAGCAATTCATTGTTATATGTCTATATTGTCCTCCATCAGCTGTCTATAATAATGTTGAAAATGTACTAGAGGAGATATTGTGAAAATTTGTAAAGTGTAATAAAGGGCTAATTGTGTCTGGGGATTTTAATGTCAATTTACTTTGTCATTCTAATTCAAGTGTACGCATACTTAGTCTTTTTCGTTCATACAATTTAATAAATCAATTTCATTCACCCACAAGAATAACAGCTAGCACCGCAACTTGTATAGATAATATATATAGTGACATAGCCCCTTTGAATGTTTTTATTTTCAATAGATTTAAATCTGATCACACTGGTCAATGGTTTGAATTCCAATTAAGGAAACAAAAAACATGTAAAAAGAAGAAAATTGTGATAACTCCTATTACAAATGACCGTTTGGACAGATTTAGAGAAGCATTGGTCTATAGGATGCCATTTCTGTGTGGCAACTCATCCCCTAATAATTTATACAATACTTTTTTTGGATCATTTATTGATGAATTCAAGAAAGTATTTACTCAAAAGACTTTATTGGTCTCTGAGAAAACAAGTTTCTGTGACTGGGCAAATGAGGAGTTACACAGGAAAAGGTTAAAATTATATGAAATGTATGACGAAAAGCAATATAACACTAGTGTGGAATTTAGGGAATATGTTAGGTTGTATTCAAATAATTTCAGAAAAGATTGCAAAATTGCAAAATCACAATATTTAAGTTCAAAAATAAAAATAGCATCGATAAAGTAAAAGCTACCTGGAAAATAATAAATGAAGAATCAGGTAAAACGTCTGACAAACGAACCGATTATATGTTAAAAGTTAAAGGGAAATTAATAAAATCTGACCCAGAGGTAGCTTCTTCTTTTGAAGAGTTTTTTACAAATGTACCACTAAATACGACCAAGTCTCTAGATTCTTCACCTGCTGCTGCGATCTCATTGCTGGAAAAATGTGTATTACCTGAATGTAATAATATTAAATTTCAGTTTAAAAATATAACTTGTAAAGATATATGGGGTATGTCAACAGTCATTTTATATTCCGTTATTAATGTAATAAGCTCTGAATTGTCTATAATTTTTAACAGATGTATCGATTGTGGAGTCTTTCCGGACGAAATGAAATTAAGTAAGATTACACCGTTGTTCAAGGCAGGTAGTGAGTCTGATCCGTCAAACTTCAGACCTGTATCCGTGCTCCCTGCGTTAAGCAAAGTTTTTGAAAAGATAATGCTAGACCAGCTTTCTTTACATTTTAATAAAAATAAACTCTTACATAATAAACAGTATGGTTTCACTAAGGGTCGCTCCACAATCGATGCCGGTGTGAAGTTGATTTCGGACATATTTAACGCCTGGGAAGAATCATATGATGGAGTCGGCGTCTTTTGTGACCTGTCAAAGGCCTTTGACTGTGTTCATCCTGATATACTCGTTGGAAAGCTTCAACACTATGGCGTTGATGGCAAAGCTTCCAGCCTGATGAATTCATATTTAAAGGGAAGGATCCAAAGAGTTCATGTCAATGGAGTCACCTCTCCGGGTTCCCAGGTATCAATGGGCGTACCCCAAGGATCGATTCTCGGGCCTTTCTTATTTCTGATTTACATAAATGACCTCCCATTCTTTGTCAACGAAGTTCATGAGATGGTATTGTTTGCTGATGACACTTCACTTCTATTTAAAGTGAATAGGAATAACGTATTATTGGACGATGTAAACAATTCTATCTCTCGTATAGTTAACTGGTTTAATCTAAATAACTTACTGCTTAATGAGAATAGAACAAAATGTATTAGATTTACAACTACTGGCGTAAAGCGAGATATTGGTAACCTGAAAATTAAGGACAGTGAACTAAATTTTGTTGACAAAACTGTTTTTCTAGGCATAACAATAGATAGTAAACTCCAATGGGGCCCACACATAGAGACTCTTTCGAATAGGCTGAGCTCTGCAGCATATGCAGTAAAGAAAATCCGACAGTTTACTGATAAGGACACTGCTAAAATTGTGTATCATAGCTACTTTCACAGCGTTATGTCGTACGGTATTTTACTGTGGGGTGCTGCTGCAGAGGTTCAATTCATATTTGTGCTGCAGAAGCGGGCTGTTCGGGGTATTTGTTGTGTTTCTCCGCGGGAGTCGGTACGGAATAAGTTTAAGGAATTAAATATTATGACAATATATTCTTGAAGCCTTGTTGTATGTCCAAAAAAATATAAACGATTTTAAAACAAATGGTGATTTTCACCAGTATAATACGCGAAATAGAACTAATTTGAGTGTACGACCAACCAGGCTCCAAAAGATAAACCACTCCTTATATGGAAATTGTATTCGTTTTTACAACAAACTCCCAAGCGAAATTAGAGAATTATCACTAAATAAATTCAAAGCCCTCGTTAAACGGCAATTAATCAATAAAGCGTTTTATAAATTTGAGGAATACTTAAATGATCTTAATCCTTGGGATTGATTTGCTCCAGTTCAAACAATTTGTATGACAATACTTGGCGATTAAAAAGAGTGGCGGAAAGTTTCTTGCCAGTTCTTCTTACCCGCTCTACGCCCTTGACTTGCGAACTGGTAGTAAATGTAAATTTACAATTAATTTAACTTGACAATTCAAAAGTGTACTTTGTTACCCACTTGAATAAAGATATTTTGAGTTTGAGTTAAGTAAAACAACAAATTATTAGCCCTTATCAGCAATGGACATAACAAGACAACAAAATGGAAATAACAAAATTTTTGATAGGTATCTATTTATTTTCACATTACTATGGTAATTTTACATGGCGGCCTTCAACATAATAAAAATAAAAATTCGTTGTTATAATTATGGGAGTACGTGCGTCAAACGTGGAAATAATATTGATTATAATAAAGGTTAAAGTACAATACATAAAAACTATTAATTAGAAAAAAAACACACTGTTTTCGTAACTTAACGACAATCTATAAATCGATTATTTTTCAAAAACAAAAGGTTATGAAAACCAATCAATTTCTGAGTGGGAGTGCCATGCTGTTGCCTTCGGGCTTCAGCCAAATGGGCAGGCACGACCGGGGCAGTACCACTGTCTCTCAGAAAACCGGCGTGAAGTGATACAAAAGGTTCGCCTTCTTGTACTCGCGTTTCGTGCGGTGAGATAGATTCTCGGAGCCCATCCCCCCCGAACCTCTACATTCCCGGAGCCCCCCCCTTTACATTCCCGGAGATTATGTGAAGACCATGTAGATTGCAGTCTGAAATGGTCTTTTGAGGAAAGAACCACACAGATTGAGTGGACCTGTCAAGTCCAAAGACAAGACATTTGGGTAGGCCGCATAAATTACTCAAACTGTCAGACTATGACTAAAACTGAGAAAAGGATAAAATAAATAAAAAACAATGATCCACGTAGCCTTCACATTCACAATAATTAAAAATAGTATAAGTAATACTTTACAAAGTAAATATTCATGTCATTGTACATAGAGTATGTAAAAAGGTATTTAAATCAACATTAATTGTGTAAATTTATTGGAGCAGCTCAATCCCTAGCCTTTTCGTCCTCAATATAGTCTTTGACAGTATAAAAGGCTTTCTGACAAAGTTTCCGCTTTATACAATTTTTAAATTTATTAAGGCTTAGTTCTTGAATGTGGCTAGGTAGTTTATTATAAAAACGTATATACATTGGCATCTAAACGAACCACTTATTTTTTTAAGCCTGGTTGTAGGAACAACAAATTTGTGTTTGTTTCTCGTATTCACGTTATGGACGTCACTGTATTTTTTAAACAAATTGATATTTTTATGAGCATACAAAAGATTTTCATAGATATACTGAGAAGGCACAGTCATTATATTAATTTCTTTAAATTTATCTCTGAGGGAGTGTCTGGGACTTAATTTGTAAATTGAACGAATAGCCCTTTTTTGTAAAATAAAAATTGTCTAAATATCGGCGGCATTTCCCCACAACAGAATACCGTACGACATCACACTATGAAAATAACTAAAGTAAAGTAAACAGGCTGTCTCTAAACAAGTTAAATCACGAATTTTCCTAACGGCGTCTGCTGCAGCGCTAAGCTTTTTCGACAATTTATATGGGGGCCCCATTGAAGTTTGGCATCCAAAGTTATGCCCAAGAACACTGTGGTATCTTCAGGAATCAACTCTTCGCCCTTTATGAGAACACTAGGTTTTACTTGTCTAACATGAGGTATAGTAAACTTAATACACTTAGTTTTTTTCTCGTTAAGAAGTAGGTTATTAACATTAAACCAGTTAACTACTTTTGCGAGGGCGCTATTTATATTGACCGTAACCAGCTGCTGACGTTTGAGTTTAAATAAAAGTGAAGTGTCATCTGCAAACAACACTATATCATGATTATCCTTTATGAGGTAAGGCAAGTCATTAATATAAATAAGAAACAAAAACGGGCCAAGAATAGAGCCTTGGGGGACACCCATTGTTACTATGGATCCGGGTGATCTTTTCCCGTTAACATGAACTCTTTGAATCCTATCACTTAAGTAAGAAGTGAGAAGATCCAGAGAGGCATTCCAGAAAGATCCAGAGAGGTGTTCCGGAATCCAGAGAGGCGTTCCGGAGGTTGTGTTCTATCCCCGACCCTGTTTCTTCTGCATATCAATGATATGTTGCAACTTAGCAACATTCATTGCTATACGGATGATAGCACTGGGGATACTCTTTACACTGGCCGGGCAGGTATTTTTCGGACAGTTGTCGATGAGTACCGGAACAAACTCGTGTCAGAAGTTGAAACTCTACTACGTGGAGTCTCAGACTGGGGCAGACTAAACCTAGTCCAATTTAACCCCAAGAAGACACAAGTTTGCGCGTTTTCCGCCAAAAAAACACCCATTGTCGCGTTCCACAACTGAGCGTTTTTCAATGCAGTTTTTGCCGCGCATCACCACTTTGTGGAACCAGCTGCCCACTGAAGTATTTTCGTACCAATTCGACTTAGGGTCCTTCAAAAAAAGAGCGTACCAATTCTTAAAAGGCTGGCAACGCACTCGCGAGCCCTCTGGCATTGTGAGTGTCCATGGGCGGCGGTATCACTTAACATCAGATGAGCCTCCTAAACTGTGATGATCGTTATTTCGATCATTCATCATCTAAAAAACTACTAAATTTCATATTAAACTGTCCCGTCTTCCGGTTTTTTTTAATATATTTTGGAAATTAATGTAGCATACGTTACCTACTCAGGGGTAACTTAGCATTCTAATTGTGAAATAATTTTTGCGAAATTGACGCAGTACTGTTTAAATTTATTTCTTTTGATAGACATTATACAGATTATATTTCGAAAAAGATTATTATTTTAAAAATCTCTTTTACAATATAGGCAATATAAATATTTTGAACCGCATAAACATGTAGTAAAATAAAATCAGAATAATATCATAAAAATAATGGATCTCATTTAAAATACGTCCTTAATGTTATACCAACCATCTCCCATTAACCCAGTGTTTTTTTCAATATCGATATGACCACAATTATTTTATGTACTCGTATGTAAATTGTTAAGTTGATAAGCTAGTTTTTTTTTTAAATTAATTTCACTTCATGCTGAGCACTTCCTTAGTCAAAGAAAATTTCTATATAAATGGAATATTTTTCTAGCACACGCACATTTAGAGACGTCTTTAGTTAACTATCTCCTACTTGGTGTACTTTTTTGCGGCGCTATCGGTAAGTGTCGCCTTATAACGATATATTAATAATTATTACCAGGTGTATGAACATTATCTATTTGTCACATAATTGAAAAGAAGGTTACTCTGAAAGGCGGCTAGGCTAAAGATAGTATAATAAAAAAGATTCCTTCCTCCAGCGTATTAATTTAATTTTACCATTATTTGTAAAGCCGCAAAACTGAAAACCTTCAAGGACTCGGAACTTGATTCTGGCGACGCGTCCGGTCGTATCGTGGGCGGTTCAGATGTGCCAGACGGTGCCCTTCCCTACCAAATATCTCTGCAGCTAACAAAGCAAAACAACTTTCATACCTGTGGCGGTGCCATAATCGCTGACAGATGGATCCTCACTGCTGCGCGTTGTCTCAAAAAGTAAGTGGCATTTTCACTTAGGTTTACAGTTGCCCCTTGATTTTTGTTCAATCGCTTTGTAATAATATATAAATTATTTTTTAATTTAGATAATATTATTAGATTCACTGCTAGCATCACTTATTTCAAAACTAAACACCTAAACCACGTCATTTCGGTCTTTAATTAATGTTTACTGAAATAGTGCGGTCCAAAGCTGCAAAAGTCATGCCGTTCTTGGTTACTTCTATTCTACATTGAAACAGATCCACGTTGTTTTTGCTTATTTCGTACCACGACCGCAACGTGCTTGCTTTTAAGGTTCTATGTCTGTTTGAAGCTTTTCGTTGACTGTAGATATGCTTTATCACAGAAATTCACGGAAATTTGTAGGTCTTTTTTATATAACGGGACAAATACTTTTACAATCGATCCTAGATTTAGTGGCACTTAACAAAAACATTATTTCTTAAAAAAAAATAATTTCAGTAAATCTCCAAAAGATTTGTCCATTTTGGCGGGAACCAACTCAAAAACTAAGGGAGGCACTAGATATAAAATTGACAAATTCTTTAAACATGAAAAATACACATCGAAACCCAATAAGAATGATATTGCTTTGTTGAGAACTGCTGAGAAGATCAAATTTACAGACAAAGTTAAAGCCATCGAAGTAGCAACCGAAGACCCCAAACCAGGAGAAAAGTGTAAATTATCTGGATGGGGATTCACTACCGTAAGTATTATATGTGATATACCTTACGGTAAGAACGGTGTGAAGTGATAAAATCGCCAAAGGCCGATTCTATCACTTCACAAAACCATTTTCTTGTACTCTTTAGATCTATTTCTGTATCCAAAAGATGGCTAAGGTTTAAAAAACGTACGTACGTAAGTAACGTACTTGAAAAACGACGTTCTTGTTATATTTTATGAAAATTTCCATATAAGTACCTACACATACATACACTATTAAAGGGTTATATCTTCTTTACAGCAAAATCAGAGAAACAGACCCGACAAATTGCAATGGTTGGACGTAAAAGTTATATCTGAGAAAGATTGTAAAACTACGTTTAATCATTTCCGACGCTTTGAAAAGACTGACCCTATTACTCCTAACCACATCTGTATTCTCAACAAGAAAGGTGAAGGCGGTTGTCAGGTGAGTAAATATTCGAATTGCTTTAAGTGTACAGTAGTCCTTTCCCAGCATCAGGCTGGGACGGATTACGTTCATACGACTATCTTCTTCGACTACTTCGAAACTTTCTTTGCTGAACTAGCATTAGCAGACTTGGCTTATTCACTTAAGCGTACGACTCTCGTCCCTGGGGTCGTAGGGTCAACCCCCGGCTGTGCACAAAAATTGCGCTCCCTGTAAGAGTAGTTCATGTCCTCAGTTGTTCTCAAAAAATGTTTGGACTAGTTACAAAATGATGAGTTCGCTAACATACGCGTTACCTAACTTTCGTGTTACTGTACTGAATTTTATTTCAGGGTGATTCTGGTGGATCATTGGTATGCAACAACAAATCAAGTGGTGTTGTCTCGTGGAATATTCCATGTGCCAAAGGCCAGCTTGATGTCTTCACGAGAACCAGTAAATACACCTCTTGGATTAAGGACACCATGGATGCCAATAAGCCTTAACTATATTTTTGGGGATAAAAAAATATTAGGTCGTTATATGAAATTGGCGTTTTGTATGGGAGGAACAAAAAGTCGAATATTTTTAAATATAATATATTTAATTAATCAAAGTATGAACCATTGTTTTCTATGCACTTTTGTCATCTCATAGGTAGTTCATTGATCCCTTTACTAAAAAAAAACCAGTCGGACGGGAATCAATAAAACCTGTGAAGGCGATTTGGACTGCCCCATCATAGTTAAATTTTTTCCCTTGCAAGGAGTTGTCCAAATTTCGAAAAAAATGGTAATCTATTGGAGCAAGGTCCGGGGAGTACGGAGGATGTCTTAGACATTCCAATTGAAGCTCTTCTAATTTGGTAGCCGTCTGTTGTTCAGTGTGTGGTCTAGCGTTGTCGTGAAGTGGCAGTGGCGTGGAGCGATTGACCAGCCTAGGTTGTTTAGCCGCTAGCTTTTCCATCATGGTTTGCAATTGCTGACAATAGACATCAGCCGTAATAGTCTGACCAGATTTGAGAAAACTGCAATGAAAAATACCGGCACTAGTCCACCAAACGCTTACAACTAACTTTTTTGGAGTTAATTTTCGCTTGGGGCAGGATTTGGCTGGCTGCCCAGGATCCAACCATTGCGCTGAGCGCTTCCGATTATCGTAAAGAATCCATTTTTCATCACAGGTAATGATTCGGTTTAAAATACCTTCATTATTGTGCCGGTTCAGTAATGTAACGCAGCAGTCGACGCGCGTTTGCCGGTTTGCTTCAGTCAATTCGTGAGGTACCCATCTTTCAAGCTTTTTAATCTTCCCAATTTGCTTAAAGTGAATTAAAACAGTTTTACCACTAACACCGCAGCCTGCAGCTAACTCGGACGTGGTTTGCGATGGATCCGCTTCCACAATAGCCTTCAATACTTCATTATCAACTTGGGTCTCAGGCCGTCCACGGGGCTTGTTCTGCAGGTCGAAATTTCCAGAACGAAAACGTTGGAACCAAAAACGAACTGTGTTTTCTTTTGCAACATGACCGCCATACACATCATTCACCCTTCGAGTCGTTTCCGCAGCACTCGTGCCACGGCGGAACTCGTACTCGTAAATAATGCGATACTTTAAGTTTTCCATTTTGTAAAATGAGTGACGTAAACAGAAAAAAACAAATGAATGACGGTCATCGAAGAACAAATACATGAGTAAATAGCTGTACAAATTTGAATTTAAAATTCCTTACCAAAGAGGAGAACTTCGTGATTAAAGTGGCCAGAATGAAAAACGCCAATTTCATATGTAAGGACCTAATAAATAAAAATAAAATATGTTTATTATGGAACATAAGATACATGTATCACTTATTCCACGTCATTAAATTTTAATTTGTAGGAATCCCTACTCATCGGCAAAGAAGACAGAGGGTGTAGGCCGAGAGAAAAAGCTGGCGTAAAAAACTCTCGGTACTCTTTTAAAATAGCAAAACATCAAACAACACTTATTTTAAAACAAATATCGCAAATTAATTAGAAGTAGCCTGTCTAGCACTAGTCCCAGGCCTTTGTATCAACTAGATAATCGTTGACTTTATAGTAAGCCTTTTTACACAGCTTTTCTTTAATACATTTCTTAAATTTATTGAAAGGCAGAGATAAAAGAGCCTCTGGGATTTTATTAAAGAAGAGTATCCCTTTTCCCAAAAAAGAATTACTAACTTTCGATAGTCTAGTAAGGGGAAATTGCAGCCTGCGTTTGTTCCGTGTATTAACATTGTGCGTATGTTCTATTCTAGTAAACTTATCACTATTTTTGTATACATACATAATATTTTCATAAATATATTGTGAGGGAAGGATAAGTATATTAATTTCCTTGAATTTATCTCTTAAGAGATTCCCTACATTTTAAATTATAGATTGCACGAATAGCCCTCTTCTGCAGGATGAAAATAGTTTCGACATCAGCAGCATGACCCCATAATAATAAGCCTAATAATAATAATAATTTTAGTTACTTTCATAGCTTAATGACTTATTAAGCTATGAAAGTAACTAAAATAAACAAGTCTAGCTGTATCGACATCAGTTAGTGAGCGAATTTTTTTAACCGCGTATGCTGCAGAACTAAGTCTCTTCGCCAATCCGTTAATATGAGGGGACCACTGAAGTTTTGAATCCATGGTGATTCCGAGAAATACAGTTGTATCATCCAGATTCAATTCCTCACCGTTTATAATTGGTCTAGTATCCATAACCCTTGCATTTTTTGCACAAATCAATATCAGTAAAATAGTAAAAAAAAAATGTAATCAAGGTATTTGTTGATTTAACTTTTTTAAGATCGAAAACATTTACTCTGAATTTACTTTAGATTTCATCAGTATATATATAATAGTATCAATCGCATATACTGGGAATAAATAAGGCGCAACTGCGTTTCTCTGTGAACACAAAAGAAACAACATTTAAAGCCTATATTCTAGGTTTTATAAAGTAAAATAATATTATTTTGTAATGAATATTTTATAGTGAAAAAATTAAAATATCTTACATATATTATGTCAAGTGACATAAATTAAACATCGTCGATCAGACGGCAAAGACAACATTACAAAAGAGTTTATATAAAATACATTTGTACTTACTTTCTGGAGAAGAATCCAAATTCGATAAATATTCGCGAATCTACACATGTCTGAACTTTCTGTTATTTTCGATGAAAGGCGATTTGAAAATGCGGCAGGCCCGACGCTCACGAACGGAATGGGTTCCCAAGCCAGGTAGGGATGATTCCCCTTTTATAACGGTCATAATGCATACTAGGTATACCACTACAACTGTTCCAACCATTAAGTCACTTGAAAAAGTATTTTTTTCCTACTTTTGGCCAGTTTTTGGGATTTCAGACCAATCTGCGACTGTGCACTGTGCCAGTCTTCAGCTCTAATGAAGTCCGAAACGTTCGTTTTCAAACAAGACTGCGTAGACGGAGCTTTATGACCCGGCGCTGAGTCTACCTGGAAGGACCATTCATGGTTATTGAACATGGTGTTGTTAAAGGGCTTTACTTATCTATCTATCTAGCTATCTTGATATACTTGTGCCGATGTTTTGATACCTTTTTCACAAAAGTATGGCTCAGTCACTCCTTCATAGCTAAAACCCTACCAAACCATCACTAAAGTCGGATAGTACCCACGTTGTACTTTGTCGACTAATTGGGAAGCTTCCTTAGAGGTTTGAGCATAAATACGGTCATTTTCTTTGTTGAATTGTAAAAAATTACTCATCCGTAAACAATGTTTTTCTGTGACCTCCCTTTGCGTACCGATTTTACCACCATATTCTTCTTTAAATTATCAGTTAAGAAATTACGTAGAGGACGTTACTGTTGACAAATATAATTAACAAAAAGTATATATAAAAATGCATCTAATCGAACAATAATTTCGAACAGCCTTGCGATTCTGTAACTCACTTTTCGCACAGTGGTTTTTACAGCGGCGGTCGCGCTACAGAATCGCAAGGCAGTATTCAAGAGTCTAGAAATTTGACATCTTTTTAAACAATTCTTCTAGGAAGAATACGATACTTATGCCTCTTTTTGAATTTAGAAACCTTTAATAGAAATTAAATACGAAATAGAAATGGAACGCAATATTTTAACAGTGTGATTATGTAAGAGTATATTTAAGTATACAGAGAGTTTAGTTTAATTTAGAGTAGATTATAATGATGCTTTTAGAAACCGGTTTTATGAAACCGCCAAGCATTCCTCAACCAATCACAAATAATGTAATAATTTAATTTATTTATTCATTTTCATATTATCAGTACAGTAACTTAATTAGCTTTACAACATAACCGCAACTTTCTATCACAAATTATGAATAATACGATTCTTGTGAAGTCGCTTTCTGGTGCAGAGCAGTGGACACTTGAACGTGGCCTAATGCCTTAAGTCTGTTATTATTTATACATATACCTGATTGAATTCTTCTTGAAGGGATTTTGAAATCAAATTAAGTGTTTTACCTAAAGAGACCTCTGCATATATAAAGAGAATTTTCTGATAACTATAATCTCCTACATATCTTAAACATGCCTGCTGCCTTTGCGAACGCCACTAGAAATTTAATTAAACATTCTGGATAGTAAAGGAAAGTAAATGATACAAGAAAAAAGTCTCTGTCATGTTAAATTGGTTCACAAATACATATGCAGCAACAACTATTGATAACAAATATAAAAGCGAAAAGCAATTTTAACATATAATTAAAAATTACTTACGTAAACGTTAATTTAAATTTTGCAAAAAAGGAACGTTTTTTACAAAATTTTACTACATTATTATTAAAACCAACAAAATGCGTCACGTTTTACGTAAATAATTAATTATTTTTTGATTCAATGGTCAATCACGGCATCTATCTCCTTCGGGATGCTTCAGATAACTACCCTTAGGACGCGCTCAACGAGTAGAAGGATCGTGAGACCTCCGCTGCATTTGGAGTGAAGGTACGAGGTCAGGCATCCGTGCTGTTGCGGAGAGAATACCTGGACGCAGAGGTTGTCCCTCACCGTCCTTGCCTTGTAAGAAATCGACTTATTGTCAAGAACAAAAAACATATAAACACTACAAAATAAATTAATAAAAGCACTATTTAGATACAATTTTTCAAAACATACTAATAAAATCTACCAAGAAACCTATTAAACAAACTATATGTTTTTAGCACCTGTATCTTAATTTAAAAAAAAAAAATAACACTCTCCATAGTAGCTTATCATTTAAAAAATCAAACAAACCACTACACGCAATACTCGTCGAGCGAGTTTGCTTATCTTGCCGAAGCCGCGTACAAATTATTTGAAGAAGTCTATTAAGTATGAGGGTGTGCAATTATTAATTAATTAATTACCGTCTAAAATCCGTAATATTAGCGCGATTAACCAATTCAAAAGGCCATTAAAGATACATATTATCAGAATGAGCCTAGTAGACTAAAATTAGG